AAAGAAAAAAAAAATGAAACAAGCAACTATGGACAGTTTTGGTGTAATGTGGGGGGGGGGGGCGTCTTTTATGCATTTGAGTCATGTAGCAAGAAAGAGAATGAAAATATAAGGGAAGTCGGACCTTTGCTATGGGCAACCCAAACCATGAAGTTCTCCAGGGGAAAAGCGCCATTGCATCTTTGTGTTCGGGATGAGTTCCTGGATCCTTGGCGCATAGGAATCCTTTTTGTTCTTTGGTGAATTTGAAAATCCACCTTTTTTGCTAACATACATTTTTATAACATTTTAAACAAAAATAGAATCTGCAGAGACAACGCAGCAAATATGCTTAATTCATGTACAGAATTGCTTTCATGCCCCCAGACTATCCCCTCCTGTTTTAAGGCCCCAAATGCCACCTAAAACCGATAGGATATATTTACACATAGCACCGATCCACAGTGCTGTTTTCAAATTCACCAAAGAACAAAAAGGATTCCTATGCGCCAAGGATCCAGGAACTCATCCCGAACACAAAGATGCAATGGCGCTTTTCCCCTGGAGAACTTCATGGTTTGGGTTGCCCATAGCAAAGGTCCGACTTCCCTTATATTTTCATTCTCTTTCTTGCTACATGACTCAAATGCATAAAAGACGCCCCACCCCCCCACATTACACCAAAACTGTCCATAGTTGCTTGTTTCATTTTTTTTTTCTTTTATACAGAGAAGGAAAGTCTTTGAAAGTGAAAGCAATTCCTCACATTCATTTGGAAAAGGCTGTTATTTATTTATTGTTAAAGTCAGTTATAGCAGGAATGATTGAAAGGTATAAGTACTATTTGAGAATCGGACTTAAAAGTCTAAAACGTAATAGAATTTTCTGTTTTCTTTTCATGGAACAAAACAGTACTTAGAGTAATTATATTAACATTGGCAATGTGTAGCTGTAGGCAGGGATTCAAGATAATTCAAAATACCATTCAATGAAATAATTCTGTACCATAGGTACAGAAGTATAATTCTGTACGATAGGATATGGTAAAAAGCTAAGGCACAACATATGTGGTATTTTACTAAAATTTGAGCCTTAGAGAATAGGCTGTACCAAAATTACAGAATTACAATGGCCTAAAACATAAATGTTGCAAAAACACACTTAGCTACTTATTTAAAGCAAAAAATATTAAGAGTTAAAATTAAAAATGACTAAATTTATATTCTGTCATTAACTGACTTTGAGCAGATAGTCAACACACTGGAGAGTAATTACACCTGTTGTCAAAGTTGATAATTGAATTGGTATTCAATATTTATTTTATTTTATTTTAAATACTTGCTGTATAATTTATTGAATTTTATTGAAAGGGAACTTGAGATGGAAAACAACAGAATTATGTTTTAAAACTATTTTAAAATATAGAGCACTATAAAGCAGCTTTAAACCACTGGAGATGGGGGCTATATTTGCTTTCCTGATACTCTGAAAGTTTTTACAGGTGAATCTCAGAGCCTTATTACAGTAACTTTCTCCAAACTTACATCTGTGACTGCCATAAATCCCAGTTGCAAATTACATTTGGACTGAATAAGATGGAAGGGAAGGGGAGGGGAAGAAGAGAGTGGGGGGAGAGACGGGGAAAGTGTGGGAGAGGAAAAGGGGAGTCTATTTAAAGAAATTAAAATAATAATGAGGCCAGGAGCTACTTTCTCATATTTAAGATTGTTTAAAAAATAAGTTAAGCACCATCAAAATTGTGAAATGTGGCATTTGTAATGTAGCAGTTAAAAGATTACACCATAACCTTTTGCAATAACTTCCATTTGATCTTGATATGCTTTAAATTAAAAACTTCAGTGTGTCAATCAAAACAGGTTGATACAATTTTGGCGATTTAATGAACTGCAGAAGAAATTTATTGCATCTTGTTTTATCAACAGAAATAAAATAAAACATCCCCATCAATTTATTTAGTGCAATGATTGAAAACACAATTCAGCTCCCTCAAGAATAGTATCATGCCACATCTGAAACAATTACAGGTAGTAACTTAACAATACTCTGCTTAGAACTGCTGTTCTAAGAAAAAGTCGCTCAGCTGAATGAAGCTGCTCAAGTATATAATTTTCAATAAAATTTGGTGAGTGATAAAGCTGTATAGGTGACTTCTCAGTCTTAAATTAAAATATGCCATTGATACCCACAGCACTGGCATGTAGGGGTGAATTTTGGAACTGTCTTATCCCCCAGCTCACGCCTAAGATAGCCCACACATTTCCACATTCACTCCATGTTACTTTTGCTTCCTATGCCTTGTTGTATTATTCTTATCTTTCCTCCATTCTTGCTTGGTAGCCCTTCCCAGCAGGTGAAATATGTATTGATACACAGGAAATGTCAGTCAGAAGGTGAAAATAGCATCTCCATGCCGCTTTTGTCATTTTTGACTGACGTAATGGACACCAGTCTGACAATCCACGTTGTACTTACACAACTTTTTACTGGCTAGCTTGTTATAGGGCAAATTTGCCTTCTAGAAATGTTCCTCTATTTTCCCCTCAAAGCAGAAAGGCACAAACATATTTCCAAATGGCCATGACATTTCTCATTCAGTCAAAAAGATGGCAGATATATTGAAGTACAAATGGAAGAGAAACCTGTGTGGATGGAACAGATTTTTGGTACACTGAATCTGGCCATCATCTAAAGCTGGACATTAACCAAATACTGCCTAATAAATTGCATCAACCTCTTAATATGCCATTTTGAAGAGAGAAAGAGAACCAAGTTTCTATGCTGGGTGTATGACCATAATGAAGATTTGATTTGACCAACTAGGCAAGTCATAAAAAAAAAAAACCAATAACAACTCTAGTTTAATATAGCGACATGGATTTCTTTTTAAATTTCTTGCAGAAGCTGTTTATCAGCCAGAACTAAGTTGAACACATTTCAGGCCTCTGCACTCTCTCAAGCAGAGTTTGAGAGGGTAGGCTACAGAAGACAGGACAGAGTTAGAACAACATAAATCCAATATATGAGTTGAAATG